TCACAGCCACATTATCTCAGTTGGCGAGAATGAAGGTGATAAAAGTGACTCGCATCTAGACACATCAATACAAATGATGGTAATATTATACGAGGTGCTTTATAGGCTATTTAAAACATTCCATCAACGGTTGCCACTTCTTTGATCAACGGCTTTTCAACCTTCGGTTAAGATATCATCGTGGATGGATTCAGGAAGAATCTTAGAAATATGGTACAAAGTCCCACCTAGTATCATCATGAGATTTTCGCTTACCCGCCACTTGAAGACAAAGCCGATAGCATTCATTTTATCAAGAGGCTAAACTATATATATATATATATATATATTTAGAAACGTCATCGGGGATGATACAAAATTTCCAAGAGCTGATCTACACGATCTGAGTTAAAACGAAAGTGAGTGACGTGGGTATTTTCTTACATCACTTCTGCTTACACCAGTTTGTCGACCACTGACTCTTCACGAATTCCAGTTGCCATGCCGATGTCGGGATGCTAATTGGACCCATTTTTAAACCGGGTTTGATATGTGAAGTCCAAGGTGAGAAGGGAGGTGCGGGATATATTTGTCGCAGTGACTTATCTTTCTTCGATATATTTTCGTTCACATACGAATGATTTAATAAATCATTCGTATTTCCGTATGTTATTTGGTTGTCTCCTAGATTACCAAAAAATGGTAATGTTATTGCATGTGCGAGAGAAGGTAATCCGAAAATCGAGGGGGGGGGGTGCAATACATTTGTCACGGGGTGTATGCCATAAAATGTGTATAGTAACATTTGTTAATCGGAACACACAACTCGTGTTTGCTCATGAAATCATGTATCGGATTGAACCCCGGAAACTTATTTCCGACAACTTTTAAATCTGCATTTTGGTAAGTACTTTTTCTGGGCACATTGTTCTTATGCCGGGCTCGCGCTTTCCGTCAGTGGTAAATCAGATGGAGAACACAAATCATCAGGAACTAAACTGATGACAAAAATAATCATTCGAAACAATCACTCACTTCAGCGCGACGCCTCTCGCGTTTTTGGCGAGCCAGTTCATCATAATCGTTGGGTACCAGAGGATTGTACTCATCAACTACCCCCAGGGACAGATTCGGCTCTCCGAAGAGTATACCACCATTTGGTAGTGCCGAGTTCGACAGGAGCACACCGCTAGTTCGTCCAACACGTTCCAAACGACCAGTTTGTTGATTGAATCTGGAATAGATTGCGGTTTCAAGCGACATTGTAAATACGCAATTTTATTCGTCACAGAACAGCAACAACAGTGGAAAATTCACGTGAACACGAAAAAAGTTTAAGTTAACAGCAAAGCCCAGTGCCATTCGCCACAAATGGGCATACCAAATGAAAACAAACCACAGTGGAGAACTTCGAAACTAGATAGAGCCCGATAATTACAATTCGCAGGTGCACAGAAACAAGCGCAGAAAATAGCCACAATTGCGTTTACATGGTGGTAACATTTGAATGGGAATGATCCTTTGAGAAGTAACTCACGGACAGAAAAACAATATAATGGAGACCTTTTTCAAAATGAAAACAAACATTCATTCAAGTGAGCTCATTAGGAAGTGATATCTCGGAAATTAAATTGGTCTCCGAAAATCTCAGAACGGTTGATGTAGATGTCTTGGGTTGTGGCGGGTCACCCCTTTCTTGTACCTCAAGAAGTACTCCTATATAAACAAGAGTCTCAAACAGCCTCTTCTGAGGAAGCCCTACTCGCTACGTTTTCGGGGCGAAGGTCCTTTCCCACCAAAAGTGAGAGGACAACTGGCCACCATCAGGGGCTATAACCGGGTCGGCGAACCACTGGAAGTTCACCTAGGAGAGTTTGTTCATAAGTCTGACTCCAAACCAACCAAGAAGAGGCGTACGAACCACACACCTTTGTGTCTGTGGCAGTGGTCACCGGGTCAATTGGACATCAAGCTGTATTGGGTACCTTGGACGTTTGATCCCGTCCGAAGAACGTATGGTCCGATACACTGGACACCACCCTGCTGTCTTGCGGGTCAGTCTCTTTCTTTCTCTGCATATATATATATATATATATATATATATACAAGCACACGAAAATGCAAATGTTTTAGGCGCCAGACACAACAGTAGTTTTTGCTGATTTCTATATCGTTCCACTTATGTGGCTTAGCAGTATTTAGTAAATCAGCGATTCCAGGCAAAAAACAGAGATGATGTTCAAATTAGAACATTGTGAGAAATTGAGCGAGACCGATGCGCATGACAGGAGGTTGGTAATAAAATGAAAAGGTTTGCAAATCTCGAGCGTACTGAATGACGGATGGAACGAATGGTCGGACAACGAACAGGTACGATGCAAGACAGAATGCACCAGCCTAGATAAACAGATAAAGCCTCAACGCATTTCGTTCACTGCGATTCATGTGGCCAGAAAGAAAAAAATTGGGCATGCACGAGACAGGTTTGGAACCGACAGGATCAATACGAAGCCATAAGTTCAGAACGACTGGTTCCGAGCGTTCATAGGAAAGAGAACTGGTTCAGAGAAATATTTGCCTACGATTAGGTATTGGGTACATTGTAATGGCAACGAAAAGACTGAAATGGAGATCACAGTTTCATGCTGGCTATCTGACTAATGCACAAATGTACTGCAGAGAGGACAGTTAGGGTTGATACGATTGACTTCACACTAACTCGAACCCTTTTTGCCACAGACATACACACCCATCTGGTTCAAAATCAAGTACTTACATTATGGAAAACTTTGAGCACTTCAAATGATCTATTCTAAGCGTCTCACAAGCTCACTGCGCATTCGTTGTTCACAAGGATTTCAACAGTTAAAAAGAAAGGTATCTTTTAGGAGATTTTGATAACTGATCACCGAGTCATCGGTAGGAGAATCAAATCAAGTGCAAACTCCAACTAGTGTACTAACAAACGGTAAGGATAAAGACCCGAAACCTGAATCGCATCTGCATGGAAGCGTTCTGTTGTTCTCCGTAATGGAATACAACGGTTAAATGCCGTCGGTGTCTGGCCCGATCTAAATGTCGTTCATACATTAATGAATTAGATGTGATAGTCACGACCCAAAAATGTGCATTTGCAATGTGGACGGAAAAACAATTCATATATACAAAAACTGGACCCCGGGAAAATCAAAATAACGATCAGAGTAAGATCAATCACTAGATGACGTAGAACGAACGACCAGAGTTGCCGGAGTTCGTCAAACTGACACTCATAAAATAAAGTTGAGGAATGCGTTAGTAGTCTGAAACAAAAAAAGGAATCAAACGAGAGTCAGAAATGAATAAACTCATGTTGTTTCAGTCGGCTTTTCTCGTTGGGTAACTTTTTGTTCGTTAACGTTTCATCGATAGCCTACGCTGCATCTTCAACGACTGTGATACGGTAGTGCAAATGTTTACTCAGCCGGTGATGAGGTAGGACTGCGAACACCACTTGTTAATGCTAGTTCTGGAGATTCGAGATAGTGAGAATCATCAGGAGATAAAATAAATGTATATTCAAGTGACCCTTTATTAAATAACCTCCATCGGAAGTTACCGTGAGAATGAAGCAAAGAGCGGAGACGTTTGAGAAAAATCATTTCTCACAAAGTTCATCTCAATGGTTGTTCACTTGCATTGCACACTGGTAAACAAACACCAAATCTGAGAAACTTCGAACCTGAGGACAACCACAATGTTAAGAAATTTTTCGCTGATACCCCAAACATTCTACCTCCACGTGACGCGTATCAGGAGGTTCACTTACAAGGATACTCTGATCGCTAACGTGTGTCTTCCTAAACTGACATGATGAAGCATACCGTCGATTTTGATTTGCATTCGAAAACGCACTTTTCCTGAATGACTGGGGACAGTGTTCTCTGATGCGTTCAACAAAACAACCTATCAGACACAACTAAAGCACGACCCAATATTCGACACTTTGTCCTGTAAATGTTGGTAATACGCACAAGAAGTTGGTTGATGTAAATCGATCGTCCATTTTGCACGGTAGCATATGTCGGACTGTATATATGAAGACGCGAATCACTTCAAATCTATCGATGAAACATGAACAGTGATTGAGATTTCGGACGAGGAGTCAGAAAACAGGAGTGTTGAAAGGGTGGGATGGAAATTGAAGCCGTGAGAAAAACTTTTGGGTCTAAAATATGAACCAATCGGTTGAAGGGAGCTCAAACCGAAAGAGGTGATCGATCGACAATAATTTATTAAGGGACGCACTACTGGATGTTAATTCAAGAGTACAGTGCAATACCGGGTAAATCCTCCAAGGATTCGAAACCAGCAGGGATGGAGGCAGAGTTCAACCAGCGAGGAACATTCACCGAGGACAAACATGTTTGATTGATAAAGTGTACTTTTAAGAACCACCTGCAGAATGCCCGTTCGCATACACTAAAAGCTAACCAGATGACTATCATGAGACAAAACACCAAATTCACATTAGTCCACTTGAGAAGAGCGCAGTGAATTCAAAACAAATGTAACGAGATAGGAGTGTCTGTTCAAGTAGACACAAATTTTCCAGATGGGTCAATATTTATTCGACAGTGAGAAAGACGTTCAACGATGAACACTTGATAAGAATAACTTGAAGGGAGAATATATTCTTACCTCATTTTACGAGCCACGCACCTTATAAAGAAAACTAACCACCAACAAAGACATGAACAGAGTTACCAAGTAAATGGAACGTTTGATTTTCACAACCAGTACGCATGTCTTTGGAAGTATCGAAGCGAGTGCTGCTGATTGTGAAGGTTCTAAGATGAGAACCAACGGATAACCGGCAGTTTTTTGAAGGGATAAATGAAGGTCAAATGGGAGACAAATGTAGTTCCACCCACAGAAGTGATTCACTAGTTTGAGAGAATACAGAGTGTATACTCTATCGTTACGGCTCAGATAGCACCAATATAGAGGGGACAAAATAAAAACTTTAGGAACATCACATAGCATTTTGTGTTAACTTTGCGGAAAGAATCCTCCTAGATCCTAACCACCCCTTGCACGCAGAGTTAACTTGTTTTTTCCCATCCCTTACCACGCTCTAAATTACAACACACACCATCTGGTATAAATGGTTATTAAAATTTTCCCACGAGTGTTCACTTATGAAGAAGGCACTGAATGAACTTCAGCTCAGTCTTGAACTGTAAGTCAGTTCTATGATCTCCATGATCCAATTTTTTGTGTAATGTAATGTATTCACTGTGACGATTAGCTTATTTGAAGTTAAACGTAAGCTACTGTGATTCAACAGGTTAAACGGCACGCAATGAAACCATATTAACCTGTAGGTCATGTGATCCTCACTTAAGTCCCTCATTGCTGCATGTTACCAGATAGTCTTGCAATAATCATCTTAAAAAACACGCGGTGACAATCATTCGAGGATGAACTTTTTGTGTGATGACCACCAAAGAGCACGGGACGACTGGTTTGACCCCATTGAAACACATCCGCAGTTTGCACTGTGTCCCAGTTGGGCCTCAAACTGCGAGCCCTCGTCCCTTAGACACACCGTCGACGGCGAAGTCCTTGACAGAATTGACTGTTATTTGCATTAGCCCAATGGAGTTCTTCAAGAACCGCGCTTAAAGACTGAATATTCTAGTGGAATCATTCAAAGAACATTCCAACGCATTTTGAAATTGGTTGCTTAATGAAAAATGTGAAAGCAGAACTTGACGAGAGGTTAAACAGCGCACAAATCACTCAACGAACTGCCACACAATACAGCGAAAGGGAACGCGGTCGCAGGTTATCAACAGCAATTAAAACAGCAAATGAGATCAAAGAAACCGCACAGCTTAAAATTCAATATGCAATCCATCCATATAGAGGAGGCATAACGACAACACTCACCACATGATTACGAGCAGCGGGAACGAGATCAGAGCGAAATTATTAGCTCATGAATCAGCTTGGATATGGTGGATTGAGGACAATAACAACCACAAAACAATCATGATAACTGCATGGTTGACAAGTGTATGCGCGCATGTACCTCTGGGGATTGGCATACACAAACAGCCGAAACGCAAATCATGAGCTCAACATAGGAATGTATTGGTGGATTGCAGACCGTGGAAAATTCGAATTCCACGACTCTCAGTGATACTAACCCTTCTCTTTACCGAGCGAATGGACGAATAAGTAAGCTAC